CTGCTCCACCCCAAAGAAATGCGGTTAGATTTCCAATTCTGCCTCCAAATTTCATGTCAGAGAGTTCAAGGTACAGTTCAAGTGACTCAGAGTCGGATTCTTAATAACAAAAAGAAAAAAAGATTCTTTACTTTTGTTCTATGTATATGTATATAGAGATGGTAGGGAAGCTTGTTGGTAAAAAATTTCTTTAGGTTTGAAGATGGTTCTTATGATTTTACCTGTTCTGTTGTTGAATTTTTCTTTTTGGAGATCATGGATAGTTTAATCCAAAGTTTATTCTTTTTTTTTTGGAAGACGAAGAATACAAACAGAAGAAACCATTTACATTGGTCTTTGTTTGTATATCAATTTGTTATATTCTTAAAAACTCTATTTTGGAGTGCAACAATAATAACATTAATGCAAGTGCTTGAATGTGAAACCTCTGATAGAAACTGGAGACTACATGAAAGTGGTTTAAAGTTTTGTTATTTGTATTTTATATCTAGTGTAAGACGAAGCATCGAGAACAAGAAAACTTTAGATACGAACACAAAAGCTTCACAAGAATCACATGTTTCTGGTTATGTATGTATTAATGTGGATTGAACACAGAGATATAAAAACTGAGGAGAGAGAGTATACATAATACATTCGAAGCCCGGAACAGAGCATAACGAAACATGATGTTTATCTTTATTCATGGCTTCCTATTAGCCACTGAGTACACGTGGCAGTTTAGCGAACAATAGCTTTATGGAAGCGCAGCTTTGACTTCTTTTCTGTCAGGTCCAAATGACTGACAACAGAAAAAGGGTCAATAAGGAAAGATTACTCATAGTTTAAAGGGCTCGTTGCAAAATGCAAATGCAATGGAGTAGAGAAAAATGGCAGTAATTACCTCGGTGCCATATCCCTTCACATACACATTGGTAAATAGCTCGGAAGGCTCTGGCATTGGGCAATCCTGAAACCGCACAGAGATTTGTGCGTTAAGTGTCTCGTGTTTTCCGCTTTGAAAGTTGAATTCCCGGATGGAAAGGAGAAGTAAACGCGACTGTAATCCTTACCTTAGCTTTGGCAATGGCGTCATCTACTTCTTTTCTTATTTCCTTCTCCATATCCTGAGAAAGAAAAATAACACTTTAGCAACTTTGATCATAAACCAAACATCAAACGATATTGTAGGATGCAGAAAGAAATGCCTTGTTGTTAAAATAAAATTACCTTAAGCTCCTTTTCGGTCGCTATGTCATGAGATAGTACCAACTTTTTTATTCTCTCAATTGGATCCCGTTCCTGAGTCATATAAATGATAAGCACATAAATGTTTTGAGAATCACAATAAACGAGTCCTCAAACCAACAAATAGTTTGCTAGTTTGCGAAGGTAAAGAGACTAACAAACCTGCCTCACACCAGATATCTCATCTCGTGTACGGTATGTGCTCCCAGGATCAGACATGGAGTGACCATGGTACCTGTATGTGTCCATCTCAAGAATCTGTATACAAGAGGTGGTGGATCAATTCTCATTTATTTCATACGATAGAAGAGGAAAAACGTTATTGATATCAGCAACTCCAGCATCAATAACACAGTTCTTTGATGTACACTGATACACAAACAGGGCATAATTTCTATCGCAGATAAGAAGCTGAGAACTATTCAGATATTGGAATCCATTTCCAATCCATAAAGAGGAACAAAAGGACTGTAAATCTCTCAACTAAAAACAAAAAGAAACAAATCAATTTCATCGTGTGGTGCCAAGTCCTACGGTAGGGATAGCTAGATATTGTTCAAAGTAATTTTCACAAAATACGACGGACGACAAAGTGGGAAAACAGAACATGTGAAAATACGAAAATTATAGACAAACTTACAATATTGATTTCTTTTTTCTTTTAATAGAAAAAAGGGGGACAAACTTACAATCGGTCCCTTCTCCAAGGCATGATCCTTAGCAAATTTACAAGCTTGTTTGACAGCAAATGCATCCATACCATCTACCTGTTCACATGCATCCAATCCAGCAATCAGTCAAACTCAAGAGAAAGATGATAACAGATTCAGAGATTACAAGAAACCCAATAAATACAATGTAATGATGCACCATGGCTTTGTTAGCAATAAAAGATTCATAGCATCATTATCCATGAGAAAAAATTCCATTTCAGCCCTAGACTGTAAGGATTACGAACGAGAGCTGTGTAGTAGGTAGGAAGTTGCTCATGCTTGCATCTTCGACATGTTTTCTATATTGAAACTAAGCAATACATGTGATTCAGGAAACAACACTTATCCATACGCTGATAGACAAACAGGTAAGCAAAGCTTCTCCTCCCTAATTCAAAGAAAAATCTACCCTATACAGAAGAGAGAACTAATAATCTATTATCAGTACACAGGAAACCAAGCATGGAAGACGAACTTTTACGAACCTATTATCTTCAAAGAATGGAAGACTTAAACACGCGACATTACAGACTTAATCTGTACCAATGATTCATTTCTAATATACTATACTAAATGCTGATTTCATCTTAACAAGCCTCACATTGTTAGAGATTCAAAGCTGACCTTCAAACCAGGAACATAATCACCACGCTTGTAGTAAGATGGACTCTTAGCAGCTCTCCATTCAGCAGTTCCCATTCCATCTACACAATTCAAACACGCAATAAGAAACCTAAACAGCTAAACG